ACAAAGCAAGTGAAATTCAGTGCAGCTCCAGGGCAGCTTTAATGCAGCATTAGAATGTGTTAGCTCAGAGACAAAATATTCCCTTTTTAAACCAAAGGTATTCATTTGGCAGAGGTTAAATAAAAAAGCACAGATGCTGGCTGAAGAGGCATATGACTACAGCAAGCAGATCAGTAACTGACAAGTCTCCTATGCATCCAGTGTCCCCACAACAGGAATAATTGAGGAGAGTTGGCTGCATCTTTCTCAGGCTTGCATTCTTGTGTGTTACTACTCTGACCCACTATTCTCTTCTGAATGTAGCAAAAGGTGCTGTACCGTTACATTCCCTACAGAGATCCTGTAGGGCACAAGAGATTATTAAGTAACTACCAAACAAAGTTGGAGGAATCAGACACCATCGACTTCACTGAAAGACAACGAAGCTTGGCTATCAAAAAAAACATTTGGGCAAAAGAATGACAAGAATCCAACATAAAAAATACTCAGATTGCTTTCTGTATATTTTGCTTTGATGACTAATATTCTTACCCAGATTTTGTAAGGGTGTTCAGTGTATTTCTGTCACCTATAACCTACCAATCTCACAAAGTAGACAATCTTCTTGTCTCTGTTTCATCTTTCATGTTTTTATAAAACAAATGACCAAAAAAGCAAATCTTGGTTGGTAATCATCTCTGGCTGGTAAGATCAGTGGTTTAAGTGATCCATAACTAATGGAAAAACAAAAGCCAGCAATAACAAGGGTTCTTTTTGCAGTTGAGTTAAGGGGGGAAAAAAAGGTACTTTGTTTTCTAACTTACGTTGCAATTTATTGTAAATCTGCAACATTCAGTGAAGTACAGACATCTCCTCTTTTCTCTCTTTTCCTAGACGGGAATGCTTTTCCAAATTTTACCGAATGCAGTTCGAAGAATCCCACTATGACTCCCTGAGAACTGAGAGTTAGCTTCTTGGATCCTAATCAGTACTAAACAATTTTCTAAAGAATATAGCTATAAAAACATGTTAGCAAATGTTAATATTAATTTTTAAAATGTCATCAGCATCAAGAGGGGCAAGGTATGTGATACCTCCTTAGGTTAAAAAAACAATCTGTGCCATGGTAGATAGGGGACAAGATGAGCACTGAGTGACTCAGAGATGTGTGCAGCTCAAAATGGAACAGACTTAAAAGGTAGAAATACCATCATCTTCTAAATTGTGTGCTTTTTTAAAACTGCAAAGACATGCTTGAGCAGTACTTATCTCCCAAGTGGCAACGTCATTTTGGGAATAACCGTTTCAAGTTTTCTTACATACTCCTTGAGTATGTAAGGCCTTAAATAATTAGGCCAAATCTTCTAGCTAGGTAAACTAAAAACATAGAAATAAATAGCCTTTTAAAACACTCACGTTAGAGATATTTTTTATTCTAAATACACTGCACCTCTTTGACTACCTAGTCATTCTTATCCTGGCCTCTGCTTCCCCTCTCGCAGATCTGCTTGCTGCCTGCTCTTAGGCAATGCCTGGCTACTTATTTACACAGTATGCTTTCTCATGAACACGTTTATGATGCTTACTTTCTTTAAAAGCGCAGATTCAACACCGTTTTTTTAATATACTTTTTGGATTATTTTTTTAAATACACAGTACACAGACACAACATGCATCAGATTTAGGAGGAGGCTTTATACCTGTCAAGGCCCAGTTCCTATCTGCTAAGTTTAGTGGTTGATTTGCTCTTTCCTGTGGGAGTCTTAGTGTTTGGGGAATGGTGGAAGGAACTGCCAGATCCTTTCAGGCCATTCTTGCTTGGTTTGTTGCAGCAATGCTCTTGTTGGCAGGATCTCCTAGAAGATGAGGAGCCTGAATGGCTAGGAGGTGATTTACTCCTCCCAAGATGTGGGGATGAACTCCTCTGATCGTGATGGGGTCTCCCAGCCCGGGACGGAGAAGAACTGGCAGTACGGGGTAAAGAAGAGCTTCTAGGGGAGGCACTGGGACTGCGTCGGGGGATGACAGGGCTTTTGGGTGGTGTTTTTGGACTATGTGGAGATCCTGGACTCTTACATTGGGTAGAACTCCTTGGTCTTTGGGATCCATTCTGTAGGATTTGAGCCAGACGAGAGATAAGATCTGAGTCGGAGCTGCTACTCCCTAGGACTCTGTATCTGCGTAACCTTAAGAAGAAATGAAGAAATGAAGAAAGATTATTTCTGTTCCCATCTATTCGCTAAAGTTCGTATAGAAACACAGTATCACTGGAAACTAGAGATGAGCTTACATTGCAGAACAGATATCTGGAGCTGAACTTTCCTATAAAGTAGAGGTGTTGGATCTAGGCTTTGGCTTCTGTGTTGTTCAAACCAACACAATATTTATATTTGCATAAACTCACTCACATAAACATCCTAAGTGTTTACAGGATAACAGGAGTACATCCATTCCCGCACACCATCAGTACAGATCCTAAGGGATGACAGGGCACACACCAGCTTCCTTCAGAGGATTTCACACTACTGTATCAAAATTCTCCTGAAGAAACTAGATCATGGTTGTCTGTATATAGAATTGGCCAAGGGGAGCTTCTAGAATTCACTCTTCCCTCCTTTAATTAGTTGTTTTTACTTAGCCATGATCTGAGCATAGCTAACTAACTCAATACTGACGGCTGGAATCTCCAAACCCGAATACTTAAAATATCTAGAATAAGAACAGTTTGATTTTCAAAGGGTCTGGATATGACAGATAGTATTGATTTCACTGGGTTTGTGAATAATCAACAGTTCTGGAAAAGTGACCTCACTTTAAACAAAAGTGTAAAGATTTAGTTATAGATTGACAGGTTTCAAAATATCGAATACACATCTATTGATGTATGAGGTTTAATGGTGAAGCAGGCTCATTCTTATGGAACACCCTCTCCTCATTCATTCTCCAACAATGTAAGATTTCTCAGAGAACTGAAGCCCAGCATTTTAAAAAAAATAAAAAATAGTTAAAGGATGGAACTTCTACAGTGTTACATACTGCACAGCAACTGCAGTCTAGCTCAAATCCATTTTCAACCTGAAAACCTATTTCTATTTGTCCAGCATTACCTAGCTTCTACTCCAGGTCTAGTAGGCGGTTTTCCTGGTGGTGGCCGAGGAAAGAACTGAGCTGAACTTGAATTGGTGACTTGATCAGTGGTTGCCCAGGACACTGGCCTTGGAATCTTGCTTTTTCTGGACTGAGGGCTGCTTGGAGATAAAGAACTATCTTCCATCTGCTTGCTGAAAGGAGAGTCCAGTGTCAATCTAGAAAATGAGGATAAGACATCATCCTCGGAAAATGGTACTGGAGCAGCAGCCATTTTTTCTTCCAGTGACTTATCAGAGGCACTTGAGAGGTCACCAAGAAAAGATTTGAGCTGTCTCTTTTCCATAAGTAGTCTGACCAAGTCTGTCTGATGGGCCTTTTTTAGAAGAAGCTTTTCTTTTGCTGAAACAGGAGAAGAGGATTCTGACGTTAAGTCTATCTCTTGTGCTAAAACTGGGATTCGGCTCTGCCTGAATACAAAAGGAGATTTAACTAAGTCCCTCTTAGATCGATGCGAATTCTCGTTTTCTGAAATGCAGTGGAATAACTCTCCATTTCTGGGAGCGTTTTTCTCTTTTTTGTCCTCCTGATGCAAAAAAGTAGTAAGGGCCACTTGGTGGCATTTCAAGTCTTGGATATGGACTTCTTCCTTATTAGAATGAAAACCATTTTCCTGACCTGGTGCTATTTTGCTTGCCTGTCTATTAATATGTGGGTTGGTAAGTCTTGGGGGAGAAAATTCTGATGTTTTAGGTGCTATTGACTTCAGAACTTCATCCTGATTTGGCACCAAACAGATGGGCCTTGGCTTTGATTCTTCAGCAGCTTCAGTATTTGTTAGAGGTTCTTCCTCTGCAGATTTTGAGTTTTGTGGCAAAGAGGAATTCTGTTCTTTGCTTAGCATTTCAATGGCATCCTCAGAAACCACTGGAAGCCCTTCTTCCTCAGCCTCCTTTACAGGAATATTTTCAAGTTCTTTCTCTTCCTGTCTCACACTATGTTGTTCAGGTAGGTCCTTTTGGCCACAGTCCAGGACGTTGCCACATTCTTTGACAACTCCTTCCCTGCCAAGCACCTCTTGGCTGTTATTAAGTACCAAATCCAGTCCACTAGCACTACCTGGAAATGCATCTTCTGTCACAACCAAACCTGGCAAACTTTCCTTTGGAGACGAAAGTTCCACGGTGTGTTCCATAGACTGAGCATCCTGCTCTCTTTTCTCTAGCTGGGGGCCATAATGAAAGCTCTCCGAAGCAGACTGTGTGGATGCCACTGAAGGTCTGGGTATTGTTATCTGCAAGTTAGAGAAGGAAAAGTTGAGAAACTCAGGAATGTTATACAGACAACATTCTTTAAATAGCATTTTTGATTTCATGTCTTCAAGATATATTATATAATGATTCCTATAAATCACAATGTTCAAATAATACCTAACTTGCATAATTTACATCTAGATAATTAGAAAAAAAAAATACTCCATCATCCCAAGACAGAACTGTGTAACAGGTAAAAACAAACATAATCTCAGTGGAAAATGTTGCCATTACCAAGTGACCCTTATAGAAATGAGATCCAGCCTAACAGGTAGGCTTTTTATTTATTTTACATTTGAATACTCTTAGAATAAGTTGTATATAAATGTAAAATCTTTAACAAGTACACAACAATATTTTTAGACAAGTACAGAAGACAAAGAACACAGTGTCCAGATTCAGGAATGGACTTAAATTTCAATTTAGGCAGAATTTAGATACTTTGTTAACAAAACAATTAATTAAAAATTTTATTTACCTAATTAAATACATCCATACCCATAATACCTACATTTTTGTCCAGAAAAACTTTCCCGAGTACCCAAATTTTAGCTATTACCTTCCCTATAGAAGCTTATGCCTCATTTTAACTAAGCAACCTGATTAGGGCATCTCCTTACCTAAAGTCACTAAGAGATTCACAAACTAAATATTTACACATCTAAATCCCCTAACGGTTCAATCCAATAGATATGCTTAAAGCAATCCTAAAACCTATATATATTATTGAGTCAGAGTCCCTTTGAAAAACAGTTGGTTATGATGAGTGTGACCTCTAGTACCTAGATTAATTGTTAAGAGCACATGTCCAGGAAATGGGAGAGCTGCATTCGTGTCTCTCCTCACTTGAGCGACATAAGCTCACTTCCCTCAGTTCCCATCCAAGTATGGACAAAACTAGCATGGAGTTGCTTCTCACCTTCCCCCTTGAAGTCAGGCCATTGCACAAACAGAAATGCAAGTCGTGAGGTCACAAGGTGATAGAGCACACACACAAAAGTGAGAGGAGTTTTACCTCTACTGCCAAGGGCAGAACGCAGTGTCACTTGAACAGGAGTCCTAGATTCTGGTTTACATGTATTGGATTGAGTCATTTGGTATAAACAGTAAAAAAAAAAAATCAAGGGGTACCTTTACATCTTCCTCTACATGGACAGAGAGTTCAGCTCCTTTTTTCCTTGTATTCTTTAACTTCATGACTCTGACACAGTTTGAGTTTGTAGTACTCAATAGAAAGCGGAAGACTGGAGTCTGGCTTTGGACAAAAAGACTTTCTTGATGCACTGATGGTAGAAGAGACAACTAGCGGTAACCTATTTCCAGTGTTGCCAGGATCCTGCTATGTTACAAGACAGATTTTGCTTGACCTTGTTGCAGAAATTATACAGGCTGCTGAGCTTAATGGGCTTTTGCAAGAGCTAGTACATTGGTACTACTGGGTGGTAGAAACCAAGCTCATCTGTCAGGACCCATAACAATTTACACTGTACTCAAACTTTACAAATACAGAACAACTCTCCAAAATAAGAAATGGAAACTGACAGTGAAGGAGATAAATGAAGATTTCCTATAAGAGTATAATAGCTTCACTGAGATTCTTGCTGATTTCCTTTTTTTTTCCCCCCATTTTCTTCATAGTCCTATATAACAAAATTTCCATCATTATGGGTACACATTTACCTCCATGAAACACAAATATTCAACTGATATTATAAACAGTTCACTAGAACAAAATATGAAACACAGATCACAGGCATAAAGCTGAATTAAAGAGAGGACAATTATTTATGTTTAAAAAATTATTTCTATACTATAGAATATACTCTGAACCTCTCTAATTTACCTACTGCTGGTTTTGGACCTTAACCTAAAAATGTGGAATCATATTTTTGAGGAATTTGGAATAAAATTTGGAGGAAAATATTTTCTTAGTTTTTTTAAGTAGGATTAGCTGTTAGCCTACAGAAAGTGGTATTTTTCACCAGGGGAAAAAAACCCACAACAATCAAGAGCAGAAATGTAAGATAATTGAACTCTTGTTTTCCCAAGTAGACCTAAGCTGTCTGTAGCATCTTCCCTAAGTTGAAGTTTAGTGAAATAGGGAAAAGAAAAACCCCAAACCAAAACAAAAAAACCCACTGAGACCTGCAGCAAGAGGCTACTTTTTGTCTCCCTGATAATTTGTTTTCAAGTTTGGGCCAATACAGTCCTTTCATGTTTGCTGAATTAAAATGGTACTTAGTTATTTAGTTTCAGCAAAACAGTCCTCCTCATGTCCTCTTTCTCTCAGTCTGGGTTCTTTCCTCTGAAAGAAACACTACTTCCCTTTTGAGTTAGAGAAGTCTTTCTTACTTCAAAAGCTTTCTTGTGAGAGAATGCAAGCACATCAGTTCAGCTACAGAAAGAACAGAGGAAGTAGATTTTCTTTTAAAAGCACCTTTCCATGATTAGGTCAATTAGTGCCTAAATCTTGAGTGTTAAATGAGAAAAAAATAAGGAAAAAGCTCTAGGAAACAGGGCAGCTATTCCACAGGTTTCCATACATCTCTAGGAAGTTGCTCTGAGGCAACACATCTCCAGTATCATACACTGAAGGACTCACTTTCATATGACAGAGGAACATATTTTGGCTTGTCACACTAAAATCATCAGATCTCTTAGACATTCTCAGCAACAGGCTGGATAAAAGTGGGTTCAGGAAATTTTAATGCAATATTGTCCTTGGAATAGCAAGTTCAGATTTTGAAGAGATCACTTAGGCATTTGCTGTCCACTCAGCTGTCTCCAGCTTGTTTCAGTACCTTGTTCTTCAGGGCTGCGGACAGTGTCTCCAAAGTAAGGAAATCTGGTAAAATATTCCCTTTTCCAAACTTTCCACTTGATGAGCTAGTCTGGTTGCCAATTCAAATAACCCAGGAATCAAAAAAAAAAAAAAAAAAAAAAGAATTATCTTCCACATATCTGAAGAAGGATGGCTTCCCTTAGAATAGAATGGTTCAGGTGTCCTCTCAATTTTCAGAGGTAAGACAACCTTAGTTACTTGCTTTTAGGAGGATATTTATTATCTTGATACATTTCCAGAAGAGCTGCAACTGCATTTAAATCCTCCTTTACTCAAATACGTTGACATGGAAACTCTTTTTCTTGTGACCTCTCTCTCATATGTCAATTCTTTGTTAGGTGAAACTAGCTCTGATGTGAAATTTATTTATATTTTTCAACAGACTTCACATCCTTTGCCACATCTGGAGAGAGAATTTCCTAGTCTTTCAGGCTTGTCCTGGTCAACTCAGATTTAACCCTTACACTGAAGAAATAGAAGAGTAAGCTTGTTGAACAACCTACAATAGAACCACCAGGAACTATTCATGAAAGAAAAACATTGACCAAGTGGAGGAAAGGAAAGGATACTGGATGGTGAAGTATCATCAAAGACTCAGGACTACTGAGTAGTTCACAGTTTCAGAAATGGCTTTTTGAACTATCACTTTCTTGATTGTCTTTCTTTGAGGCTTATTAATCATGGTTTAGTTTCAGTATTCTTTAAATACCTTCCTTTTTCAGTTATTCCTACACCACTTACCAGGTAAAGGAAGTTTTTGTTCTACCATAAACCCCTACCCTCAAACATCCGACAGGGCAAACATTGATTGCTCTAAATGCAGTAACTTTAGTTGATTTTAGAGGATGACTGTCATTGTAATAAGTGGCTAATTAGTTTGGTAACGTGACTAAAACAAGTACTCATTTAATTTCAAACTACTTCTATGTAACACATAAACCAATTGAAGAATATTCTTGAAATTTACTTGTATTGTCAGAGAACTTGGAAGCAGTGGCACTTACAGACCATTACTTCATAACACCCACACAATACTCCTGTCATATCTTCCTATTAAAAATGGGCCGGTATTGTAATATTTTTCTTGAGTTCCACAGAGATAGTCTTTTTCCAACAAAGAAAGCATGAATTTTCCTTAATGCACAGTTCAGAGATGTGAAAAGATGGCAACTGAAGCCTATTTCACCTTCCCGTCTCATGCTATTATTTCCTTCTTCACAGAAACTGAATTCCTACCTTACCATGGTTATTTTCTAAAGTCACAAAAGATCTAGAGATTAAGAACTATTTTCAGAAGCTTGGCCACTTGGAGACTTTTTCCTCTGGAAAGTTGGAAACTACTGATTCCATGAGGACTGTGGTTTTAGTAACAAAGCCAGTGAGTTCCTATCACACTTCAAGTAGCACAATATATTCAGTATTTCTAAATCTAGATTTTATAAAACATCTAACAATCTACAACAGGATGTGAATTATTTCTCCATGAGAGGTTATGTTCAAGTATACTTAGGGACTGTGCTGCTCAAGTATACTTAGGTACTCAGTTAAGAAGCAAAATAAAACACTACAAATTAGAAGGTTCCTCCTCTAACAGGGCACATTAAGTATGAAGTGACATTTACCTTTTAATTAATGGTGCAACTACCTTTGGTATATAAAGCAGTTAAAATATTTACACAGCTATTATTATCATACCTAATAATGATGTAAGCATCTTAAGCAAACTTCACTTTCTTTTAGCAGCTAGTTGTGAAGAAATATATTAGTATATATTTTTCTTACTTTAGTAACATATTTACTACTTTTGAATGATCTTTCTGAAGCTAAGCTCCATGTTAGTTAGTATCTGTCCCTACAGAGAGAATAGCTCCAATTTTCAGAAACATTAAAACCACAGGCTAATACTTCCTCAGGAAAACCCTGAACTCTCATTTTCAAAGCCACATTATACCTTGTTATTAAGGACCAGTACTTTTTTTTTAAACACAGTATCTTCTTTGAAAAATTCATTTGAAATGCTCTATTCTAAAGCCAAGTTCAATCCAAGTAAATAGTCTTTATTTGTCGTGAAAAAAGACAAACACAGAGACTCTCAATCACATAAAAACTGCTTCTATGTGTAATAGCAGTGGGGTCTGG